TCTTCCTTCCTTCCTTCCTTCCTTCCTTCCTTCCTTCCTTCCTTCCTTCCATCCTTCCTAATTCAAAATCAGTTTTCCTGTGACGTTTGCCTTTGGACCTACACTTAGAGCCTTACAAATTAAATTACCACTTGAGCACGATAAAACAAATCTATCTTAAATTTGGAAATGGAGTAAATTTTCATTCCAGAATGGGTGCAAGAGGGGCTCTGAGCGTGGCTTAACCATCTCTTTTAGATTTCCCCCCCATCTTGGAAACCTTTGCGACAGTTCCTGAGTCCAAGAAGAGATTGCTGTTGGCCCGCCCCTCTCTCTTCTGCCCCAGACCCTGCTCCTGGGGCCACTAGTAATCTCCCGTGGAAATCTGGGGTGGGGCGTCAGCAAGTTGAATGTCTCTGAAGAGGTTAACCCAGTGAGAAGTGTCAGCCAGCTGCACGAGCAGCTGTGGACGTGGCCGACGGCTGAGGAACACGCGGAAGCGGAGCAAGGGGGAGTGGGCCGGTCATTCACCTGTACGGAGAGGCCGTGCCCCAGGACAGATAGTCGGTGGGCCTCGGAGCAGGGCGGGGCACGATGGGCTGCTCCACGGCCGTCACGTCTCCTGAGTAGGATTTGAGGAGGGAAGCGTTCTTATTGGCCAGCATGGCTCTCTCGTTCCTGCGGAATTTGGCTCTTCGGTTCTGAAACCACACCTGGAAGACGGTTGGGGGGAGAGAAGGGCGTGAGGAGGGAGAGGAGGTCACGTGGGCCAAGTCCCGGGCGGTCTCCCTGAGTAACGCCTTCCCACGGGAGATGCAGGGGAGGTGGGGTCCCCAAAGTAGACCCTACAGCGAGGCTTGAAGGAGCCCAGGGTGGGGAGGGAAGGACGGAGAAGACGGGCAAGCGCTGAGGAGTGTGCCGTGAAGGCAGGTCCCCCGGGGTGACCAGCTCCAGGGGGCGGCAGGACTAACTGGTACACACGCTCCCACCGTGGGGCAGCTGACGGGTCACACGCTGGCCTGTCCTCGCCGGTGTGGATTAACCTTCCAGCACTTCTGGCCTGCTGAGCACAGGCCAGCCTCCTGAAGGCCGAGAGAGACGTGTGTGAAACGGAAACGAAGTTTGGAAGTGGAATGGGGTGCATTCGATTGTGGGGTTCGAGGGATACGGCCGCTGCCGACAGCATCACCTGCTACAGCTAAGAATACGCCCACCACGCATTAAGCGCTGCGGGGGCTCCGGCCTTCCACGAGCACATACGTGCATTATTATTTCTGGTTGTCGTGACAAGTCCGTATATTAGGTTTTATTATTTCTATTTCAGAGTTGAGGAAACAGAGTCAACGAGATTAAGGAATCTGCTGAAGTTCACGCAAATAATAAATGGCTGATTTTTTGAGCTCAAGGACGTCTGACTCCTGATGCTACGGCTCTTCCGGATGGTCATGGATTTTATTCATTCATTCTTTCTTGCAAGAAATCTTTATGGAGCACCCACTGTGTTGCAGACTCTGTGCTAGATGCTGGGGACAGAGAGATGAGACTTATTCTTTGTTTGAAAGCAGCTCGCACACTATTTGAAGAAGACAGGCGTGCATATTTGAAATGCTGCAAAGCAAGAGCTGGGTGTGATTCTAGAAACGCCCGACAAGGCGTGAGAGAAAGGAATTCTGTGGCACACAGTGGGACAGCTCCAGGGGGCAACATTCACAGCCGATGCCACGGACTGGTGGCCGTGGGAGGCCGGGCTGGACGTCAGGAGGCCGAGTCTGGACACCGTCTGCCTGGCTTTGCAGCCTCCCAGCTCACTTGTTTCTAGTGTCCCCTTCTCGTTGCTATGGGAGTTATCGATTTAATGCAGACGTAATCACGGTGGTGCCCCGCTATCGATTACCCATTGGGTCCCCATCACCCAGAGAGTACGATCGAAATGTCTGAGAACAGAACAAAGGGTGTTCAGGGCTGAGCCCTTTGTCCACTAACCCGGCCACAGCCTGAGTCACTCGGACCTCGTGCACTGGCCTGCTACCCCGGCCTCAAGACTCCTGACGGATTCGGTAATTTCACACCTACGTACATTCACGCCGAGTGTGTCCCTCCGCCTGTGACAATCCTTCCCTTCGTCCAACTGTCAAAAGACATGCTTTTCACGATTTGACTTTAACATCGCCTCTTTTATGAAACGTTGTCATGGAAAGGACATGACCTTAAAATCTAACGGAGTCGGATGAAAATACTGGCTACACCACTTTAAAGATTTGTCCTGGGATCGTAGTTTAATTTCTCTGATCCTTTGTCCCCCAATCAAATGGAGAGAGTCAGACCTCCTCACAGGGTTGTCCAGAGAGTCGGCACAGCTGGGCTGCTGTGTCACCTCTCCCGTCTCCAAGCAGATTTGATCGTTCCTCCCTCTGGTCTGTCACTAATATTTGTTTTGTTCTGTTTTGTGGATTTTTTTTAGTTACTAATTCTTGACCATTTCTTTAGTGTAGGAATTATCTTACTAGATCATGACACTGTGACATGCACATCTGTCTTCTCTGTCCTCCATCCTTAAGGGAGGGCCAGTGTCTTATCTATTCCCAGAAAACTAAAATTGGTTCCAAGAGCATGATAGGCAGTTGATAAGTGTTTGAAGGAAGGAAAAGTAGAGGGAAAAGGTGAATTGTACGAAGATGATGAGATACGGCTTTCGTCGCCGTCTGATCGGGGAAGCTGGCCCGCGTCCGACTCAACACGATAAAGATGATGAGATACGGCTTTCATCCAAGAGGACGTTGCCGTCTAATCGGGGAAGCTGGCCCGCGTCCGACTCAACACGATACGTGTCGTGTTGTGATAAACGCCCCGCGTGCACCGAAGGCCAGAGCTGGAAGGGGGTGGGTCGTGGAGAGCGTGCTCGCACCGGACACGCTCGGACTGGAAGCCGTTAGCCCATGGCGGGCGGCGGGAGGAAGGTAAAGGGGTTTCAGCGTATGAGAGAGACATTTAATTGTTGTGGTCGGGCCAAAATAGCCCCAACCCAAAAACTGTTCTTTCTCTTTTTTTTTCCTTTCCATTTCCAACATGGCCCTGTCCAGGGTTCCTTGTTTAAAATTCAGATCACCACAGCAAGCGACACTTTCAGGTACCGTGGGTGATCGGTCTAAAGTTATTCCTTACAGAGCTGCAGGCCGAGCCTGGGGCATAAAAGACATGGGGGTTTGAAAGGGGAAAAGAAGGGGCTTTGGAATAGAAACAGGCGTTTGGAGAGCTGTGGTGAGGGGCACAGGGGAGGGGACGTGGCAAAGCCAACCGCGGAGCATTGTCCCTGTGGCCTCTCCCACCTGAGTGAGGGACTGCCAGGCAGCAGTGAGCACGCCTCGCTCGTGCCTGCTCCTAACCTGTCCTCGGCGTCACACGGCGCCCAGGCACCTTCCCCCTATGTCACCGACATGCTTTTCCCCCTGGCGAATGCTTCTAGCTGAGGTCCTAGCTTCCCATGGGGAAAGCCCTGGCTCACTTTCTCTTCTGCCGGGGGACCTCCAGGACCCTCTCTCTCAGCTCAGCAAGCGCCCCTCCAGCGGACGGTGCTCCGTGGCACAGAGCTGCCACCTCGGAGCCCCTGGAGTCGCTCGGGCCCCTGGCGGGCTGGAGCCTCACTACTGGCAGAAAGAAGTCCTTCCAGCCCAGACTGAACGCAAAAGTGCCAACAATAATTTCTCCAGGAAAGCTAGACAGATTTGGCCTGCTCCCCTTATCCGAACACCGTGGAAGACAGAAAGATGGTGACTCAGCCAGCAGCAGAGACAGCAAACGCTACTGGAAAAAGCATCTAGCCAGGACCCTCATTTATTCAGTCTCCTGCGGTACTTAAAAGCAGGAGTTCTGGGAGTGCGGGTCTGCGTTCAAATCCTAGTTCGGCCACGTCCTAGCTGTCTGAGCTTGGGCAAAATACTCTAACTGCTCTGTGCCTCAGCTTCCTCATCTGCAGGATGAAGAACACTGGCCACCTCACCGAGTCAGCGTGAGGATTAAACGGACTTGTTTCCACAGAGAACTCAGAACGAGACTTGGCACATCAGGGCCCAAGTGCTGGGAGTCACGTCATCATCGTCGTCAACACTAATCTCGGGTGGGATTATTTCTGGCAGTTGACGTGCCATCAAC